CCTTGAAGCCCCGGTCTCTCCTACCGGCCGCAACAGATCACGGTTGAGCACAAACCACGCAGGGCCGACGATCGCTACCGCAACGCCCCGCTCGACCCTGATGACGATCCTTCAACACCTTCAGCGCCTCACGACGCCGAGCCCTCAGCACCCGACGCCTGGCCTCAACAACCCCAGTCACCGAGCCGCCAGCATCACCAGTCGCCGTGCCTACCATCACCCCCAGCCATCGCACCCTACGACCCCTCCACTAGCCGAACCACCGTACCCACTGAAGACATGCCACAGCACCCATGGTCGCCAGCTTACTGCACCCACAGACTGCTGCCAACCAGCTGCCGCCCTCCACCCTCACTCTACCCCTACAGAAGGACCCAAATGACTCTCCCACGGTAATACAGATTCCCCACACCACCTTGCCCTGACCTGTATCCCTTCACCTCCCCTGACCCAACTGTCTCCCCACCCACCCCAACATGCCTCCTGCACTCCTCCTCCTCATTTTCCTCTCCACCATCCCAAAAATCACCTCCCTCTACCCGCCTACCCCCCCAAAACAGCTCTACATTGCCCCTTCACTTCTCCCCTCTCCCCACTACGGCACTCACCACCTCCTCCTGCTACTCCACTCCCCCGTCGACCCACGTGCCACCACTATCAGACCCACACGCTCCTACACTTCCCATCCCCATGCCACCTTCCTCACCCTTCTCCTTCTCCTATCTGCTGGGGACATCTGCCCGAACCCTGGCCCCTCGCCACCTCACCCCTCCTCTAGGGACCCCCCTGCTCCCGCCAGCTGCCGTAACCCCCTCAACCTCATATCTGTGCCCCTTCTCCCCGCATCCATCCCCCCTCTCTCGGTTGCACTCCTGAACGCCCGCTCGGTCTGCAACAAACTTACTGCCATCCATGACCTCTTCATCTCCCGCTCCCTTAACCTCTAGCCATCACCGAAACCTGGGTACAGGCCACTGACTCCACCTCCCCTGCGGCACTCTCCTATGGAGGTCTCGTCTGGTCCCATTCACCAAGACTGAGCGGTCACAAAGGTGGTGGGGTCGGCCTGCTCCTATCACCGCTGAGCTGAGCACCTTCCAGGTCCTCCCTAACCCTCCCTCCCTATCCTTCTCCTCCTTCGAGGCTCACTGTATCCGGCTCTTCACCCCCACCCCCCTAAGGATCGCAGTGATCTACAGGCCTCCCGGATCCATAGCCCGCTTCCTGGATGACTTCGCCGCCTGGCTTCCCTTCTTCCTCTCCTCTGAGCTACCAACCATCATCCTCGGGGACTTCAATATCCCCATCAATGACAACAGCCCGGCTACTTCCCAACTCCTCCACCTAACCTCCTTCGCGCTCACACACAGCACACTCAATCCTCCACCCACATCATTGGGAACACCCTGGACCTCGTCTTCTCCCACCTCTGTACCCTCAACCAGTTCTCTAACACCCCCTTCCCTCTCTCCGACCCACCACCTCCTCACGTTCTCCATCTCCCCTTCCCCTAACTCCCCCCCCCCAGAGCGCCAAACCATCACCAGCCACAACCTCCGCAACCTGAACCCGGCCCCCCTCCACTCAGCTGCCGACCGCCTACACGACAGCATCCTTCCACTGTCTTGTCCTGACCTAGCCACTAACACGTACAGCGACTCACTATCAGCTACCCTAGACTCTCTGGCACCCCTAACCACACGCTACATCAAACCCAGACCGTTCCAACCATGGCAGAACGACCACACTAAATGCCTCAAACGCCGCAGTCGCGCGCTAGAGAGACTATGGCGCAAAACCAGGTCCCCCCGTTCGTTCTCCCTCTACAAATCTGCCTTCCTCACTTACACCTCCTCCCTCCACGCCGCCAAGCAGGCTTACTTCGTAAACCTGATTAACACCCTCTCCTCCTGCCCTCGCCGACTCTTCTCCACCTTCAACTCCCTGCTCTCTCCCCCCCCTCCTCCACTCAGTACCTCACTCACCGCCCACAAAATTGCCACTCATTTCCACAACAAGATTGATGCAATCCGTCAGGACATAGTCAACTCGCAATCTACCTCCCCACCTAGCCTCCCCCCCCCTATCTCCCCCTCATCTCTTCCCTCCTCTGACCTCGCAACCGCACTGCCCCCCCCACACCCAAGACCCCACTTACCGTAACCCCACCAGCTCTGCACTCCTTCAGCCCCGCTACCACTGAGGAAGTCACCAGGGTCTTCTCAGAAGCCCGCCTCACTACCTGCCCCCTGGACCCTATCCCCTCTCGACTCCTCCAGTCACCCCCCTCTTCCCTCATCTGCTCCCTCACCCACATCTTCAATCTCTCCCTCTCTACCGGCGTATTCCCCTCCCCCCTAAAGCATGCGCACATCACCCCCATACTCAAAAAGCCCTCCCTGGACCCCTCTGACCCAAACAACCTCAGACCCATCTCCCTGCTGCCACTCACTTCCAAACTCCTGGAGCGCTTAGTCTACAACCGCCTAAGCGCCCACCTAACTGACAACAACCTCCTTGATCCACTACAGTCCGGCTTCCGTCCCCTACACTCCACCGAAACCGCCCTCCTCAAAATCACCAACGACCTACTAACTGCCAAAGCCAAAGGCGACTACTCTGTCCTCCTCCTCCTGGACCTCTCCGTGGCCTTCGACACAGTTGACCACCCCCTCCTCCTTAATAAACTACTCTCCCTTGGCATCAGAGACACCGCTCTCTTCTGGTTCTCCTCTTACCTATCCCGACGCTCCTTCAGCGTTTCCTACAATGGTGCCACCTCCCCTTCCCTCCCCCTCTCTGTTGGGGTCCCCCAGGGCTCTGTCCTTGGACCCCTTCTCTTCTCCATCTACACCTCCTCCCTTGGCAAACTCATACACTCCCACGGCTTCAACTATCACCTCTACGCTGATGATACTCAAATCTACCTCTCCACCCCTCACCTCACCCCCACATTCTCCGCCCGCATCACTCACCTCCTAAACGACATCTCTGACTGGATGTCGCTCCATTTCCTCAAGCTTAACCTCTCCAAAACCGAGCTTCTCGTCTTCCCCCCAGCCCGGGCCCCCCCCCCATCCTATCCATCACTACTAACATCACCACCATCAATCCCGCCCCGCAAGCCAAGGTCCTTGGCGTCATTCTGGACTCTAACCTCTCCTTCCAACCTCATGTCAAATCGCTCACAAACACATGCAGACTCCACCTCCGCAATATCGCCAAAATACGCTCCTTCCTTACCCCAGACACCACTAAACTACTTGTACACTCCCTGATTATCTCACGCCTGCTCTACTGCAACTCCCTCCTCACCGGCCTACCCCAGTGCAGGCTCTCCCCGCTTCAGACCATCCTCAACTCAGCGGCTAGACTCATCCACCTCACCACCCGCTCCACCTCTGCCACCCCCTCTGCCTCTCCCTCCACTGGCTCCCTATCGCCCAACGCATCAAATTCAAACTACTCACTCTGACCTGCAAAGCCATTCACAACACTGCCCCTAACTACCTCACCGACCTGATTCCCAAGTACCACCCTACCCGTACCTTTCGCTCTTCACAGGACCTCCTTCTATCTTGCTCCCTGGTCTCCTCCTCACACGCACGTCTGCAAGACTTCTCCAGGTCCTCCCCCATCCTCTGGAAACTCACTACCCCAATCCATCAGACTGTCACCTTCCCTCCTCACCTTCAGGCGCTCCCTGTAAACCCACCTCTTCAGGGAAGCCTACCCCACCCTCACCTAACTGCTGCTCTCCTTCATTCCTCCTGCCACTCCATCCCCCACAGCCACTTCCTCCTGTACCACTACCCCCTCCCTCCTAGATTGTAAGCTCGAAAGAGTAGGGCCCTATAACCCCTCGTGTGCTGTTTGTAGTTGCTGTAATGTTTCATGTATTGTCCCCCCCCTCTATTGTACAGCGTTGAGCAAACCCTTTGGCGCTATATATAAACTCAATGTAATGTAAATGCAAAGAACACTTAAAGGCATATGACAGTCATGTGAAACATGACAGGCCGGGACCCGATGATTAACAGTTGAGGCCGCGAATAGCGCCCCCTACCTGGTAACGCAAAATCACATATATATTATATACGTGATTTTGCGCCCCCGTTCCGCCCTGTAGCGGTATTACTGTTATAGGGCGGACAGGAAGCAGTTAAAGGATACGTTCATCTTTCATAACATATGTTATGCTCATATTCAGGGTGTTACATGTTATGAATAGACTGGCCCCCCACTTTGACAGCTAGCTGGGGATTTTCTCCTCTTGCTAGCTGTCAAATAAGAAAAAAAATGCTGCTTCTGTTCAGGGCTCCGCCCACCCCGGCCGCATCACTCATTCACAGTATTCTGTGAATGAGAAACTACAAGTCCCGACAGCCTTAGCGGCCATCGTCTTATAGTTCTCAATGAACGACCACAATGTGTGCTGCATTGATTCTTCCTGTCACTGTATCTGCGTGCCTGTACATCCTGTATGGACAAGCAGGTATACTGACAGGTCTGCAGGAGACCTGCATGGCACCAGTGAACTGTTGATCGCTGGTGCAGTGGTTTATAGGCTCCTGCAACCAAAAAATAATAAATGCACTTTTTTTTTTTTGCCTGCAAACAAATGTGCATGTATTACTTTTTAGCAAAAGCTGAACTTATCCTTTAACACAGCTGCACCTAAAGCCGATTGAAGAATTGGCTCGGGTGAGGACATCGGTTAATCCATGGACAGGTAAGTTGCCCTATATTAAAAGTCAGGGGCTACAGTATTTGTTGCCGCTGACTTTCAGTTTTTGGGGGAGGGAAGACGGAGCTCCTCTTTAAGTGTCCTGATGATGCAATGTATTTTTGTCTTTTAATTGAACTTGATGGACGTGTCTTTTTTTACCCAGTTTGACTAACCATGAATTTATGTATTTCAGGTGTCTGCACAGACTACAAATACATCTTTTTTGGATGTCTGCGACCAGCACACCCCTCCATCTTCACGCACCGCACTCCTTGTTGGGTATAGCGTGTTACTGCCCCTTGGAGTCATATTGAATGGGGTGTCCCTCTTTGTGTTCCTGCGTTGGCTACGACCTCTCTCAGTGGTGGGAACTTTCCTGTGTAACCTGGCGCTCAGCGACCTCCTCTTCTCCCTGTCGCTGCCCCTGAGAATATACTACTATGCCAACAACCACTGGCCCTTTGGTTCTTTCCTCTGTCGCCTCTCTGGATCCATCTTCCATATCAACATGTACGGCAGCTGCCTCTTCCTCTTTTGTATAAACGTGGATCGCTACCTGGCCATTGTGCACCCTTTGCGGTTCCGCCACCTACGAAGGCCCAGAGTTGCCCGGCTGACTTGTCTATGTGTCTGGCTGGTGATCATCAGTGGTTCAGTGCCAGCTGCCATGGTACATGACTCAAAGGATTGCTGGAATGGACATGAATTTGTTCACCGCTGTTTTGAGGGTTTAAGTAGTTGGGAGGGCTTTTTGTTTCCATTGCTGTTAGTCGCGGAGGTGATTGGTTTTCTTTTGCCCCTTACTGCTGTAGTATATGGTTCCAGCCATGTTTTCTTCGAGCTGTGCCGGGCAGCAGAAGGAGGCACAAAGAGGCATCGCAAAACCATCCGACTACTCGTCCTCAACCTTAGTATCTTCTTGTTTTGTTTTGTTCCTTACAACTCAACTCTGGTTGGATATGGCCTTCTCCGGGCCGGCCTCGTACAGGACAGATGGGACTCAAAATCAACGTTAAAGAGAATTATTTCTATTACCGTCCTACTAGCCAGCACCAACTGTGCACTTGACCCCTTAGTTTATTATTTTAGCACTGAGGGCTTCCAAAAGACAATTAGTCAAATTGTGCGCTCCAGTAAGTCTTCCAAGGGAAGAACAGCTCCAGCAGGATTACAGATGACATTGTGGCTTCTGACCATAATCCAAAGGTGAAAAGTTCCGGAATTACAACTCGTTCCAGCAAAGACTATGAGAATAGTGAAAAGAGACCGTGTCAGGTTAAGTTAGGTGTGACCAATGGCAGGGAGAAGAAAAGAATGATTGAGGAGTCTGAGATTTAAGTCAGTATTGAATAGAACAATGCACTTGAAAGTCTGGGCCAACTGTGAACAAAGTGTACCAGGTGGGCTTCTGGTCTTTTTGGAAGATATATTTTTGATATGGGAGGGAAGGGTAAAAGTCATGGACCATGTCCATTTGGGAAGACTTTTATTCACTTCCTGTCAAGTAGAAGACACAAGGTGCTATCTTAGATAGCTGTGTCCCCATTTGAACCCTTGCCTCCTCTTCCTATACTAGCGACACTGCCAACTTTTTAATCCCCCTCATTTTTACTCACAGTGACAATGGTTTCTAGAACAAGCTGAAATGGTGAATCTCCCCAGCAGGAACAAAACCAGAAAACAACATTTGGGCTTCCAAGAGACAGTCAGATTGTGCTCCTCAGTAATTCGTCCAAGGACAAGAATGAGTTCAACAGGATTACAGACAACATTGTGGCTTCTGTCCATAATCCAAGGGTGAACATCTTCAGAATTACTCTTGGTTCCAGCAAGGACTCTAAGAATAGTGAAAAGAAACTGTGTCAGATTAAGTTAGGTGCCACCAATGACAGTGAGAAGAAAAGAATAAGCGACGAATCTGAGATTTCAACCAAAACCAAAAAGGACATTGCACTGGAGAGAGCATGAACAAAAGGGTTGCAGATGGGCATCAGGAATTCTTGGTGGACGTTTACCCATAAAGCATATCTAAAGCCACATTTAGATAAGGGAGGGAAGTGATAAAAGCTGGGTAGGTTTCATTCACTTTTTATCCCGTAGAAGCAACAGGAAGTGAGAGGAATTCTCTCCAAAGTGAGGAAAATCATCTTTGCACAGTTGTCAACATTGGGACCTTTGCTCTTTAGTTCTAGGAGAACCTAAAATTTGAATTTCCACTCACTTTCAGTTGCAATGACTATTGTCCCTAAGCAAAGTAGAGATGGTGAATATCTCAAGTAGAGACACAGCCAGATATAAAAACTCAACTGCATTGCTAACCATTCACAACTCTATCCAGAATATGAAGTTTGGGCTCTAAATGCACCCTAACTTCACATTGCAAAGGGTCTCTTATCCATTACCAGGCATTTTTAACCAAAGCCTATTTATAGATTTAGTAAACTCTTTCAGTTTTTTTTCTATCGGGGTGGGGGGTTAGGTTTCCAGTAGACACAACAGGAAGTGAGGGAATTCCCTTCTTAGACAGTTGTCACCCAGTGGACAATTCCCCTCTTTTCCTGTTTTGATGACAACTATAAATATTTTGGATTTTCCATTACTTTTAAACCAAGTTACAATGGCCACAGGACAAATAGAAAGACTAAATCTCCCCAGTGGGGGCACAGTCACCATACCTCCCATCTTTATGAGAAAAGAGGGACACATAACCACCACTTCCAGCTAAATGGACCATGAAGAACTAATATGAAATCAATGGTTGGTTAGATTCACAGATGCTTTCTTTTTTTCCACTATTTTTTCTTTTATACTGACTTAGATTTGGGTCCAAAAGAGGGACAGGCCCTCCAAATAGTTTGAAAACCAGAGCACTTTTGAAATGTGTTTCTCAAAGAAAGTGAAAGCCTAACGCCAGACCTTTTTTTTTTTTGTTTTTTTTTTTTTGAGGTCGGGGTGAGTCACGGAGTATGAAACCTCTACCAATAGAAATGAAGTCCATAGTGAAGCCAAATGGCTCAGGTTTTGGTGGCTTTCCACAAAGCGAGGGCCTCTCAAATTTAGGAGTCATTAAATTTGAGTAGCTGCACCAGAAAGAGTGCCAAACCAACGTTCTAAGAGACCGACAATGATTTACTGGTTGAGTTAATGACCACAGAAAGGACAATAAACTGCCAACACGTTTTGGGGACCTACAGGTCTCCCACTTCCTCAGGGATTAAGTACAATTAAATGACCAGGATCCATGAATCAATGAACTTTGCTGGATCATTGATCCTGGTCATATCTGAATTTTCACACAGTAAACAATTGAGCTCCGGTGACTACTGCTGAGTCCCTAAACCATTTCATTTGAAGTGTTTTGCTTTGAGAACATTTATTTAATTTTCTAACCCTTGGTAGGGCCAAATCAACATTCATTTTCAACCGCAGTCAGGAGATAATTCGAAGGAGCAATGGGAAATTTTTTTCCAATGAACGAATGTCTAACGGCAAATTAGGTTTTTGTTTCAGAAAGTCTATTCATTCTGTAACTACTAAAAGCAACCCAAATTTTAAAGCAGAATTCCTCCCCCCCCCCCCCCATTTTTTTAAATTCCCTACTTACCTGGTGGTGAGTGCTGCACATTTCAGATACTCACTCAGTGGATCCAGTGTTGTCCAGCTGAGATTATGTTCTCTTCTGATAGTGCTTGGTCCCGCACTGCCATGTTTTGCCATGAGGTCATTGAAAGGCTGCTAGCTGTTCTTGGTTGAGCCTACCCTCCTTCCTGATGATGCCCCGCTAGGTCTGCCCCCACCATCTTTACTGAATGGAAGGCTTTGCCTCCTGGGATCTGTGGTGTGCATATCCCAAGAGGCAAAGGGAGGACCATGCACGTCAATCTCCTAGGCGAATGATATGGGCACAGGGGGGCAAGGCCAAAGGATTAATTTTAAAAAAGTAAATAAAGAGAAAAAAAAAAAACACTGTCCATGCACAGGGGGGAGAGATCATGTTTCAGAGAGTGAAGATCTACTTTTGAGCAACATTTGGATGGTCATCAAATGCAAATAGGCTTTTTGTGGGAATGTCCATACGAACGTTTGTTCAAAAATCTACTCTTATTTGGCTAGCTTTAGACTTAACTACACCCCCTTATGCCACTCTGCGTCCCCCTCCCCCCTGTACAAAAAATGGCCACCGCCCCAGTCTAGAACTGGCCTTCAAAGCCCTACATATGGCTCCCACCTTCTTGCCCTGCCATGAGCCTTACTGGAATCTCTCCGACCTGAGCGTTTGTGTGTCTTGTTAATGTTCTATTTTGTCTAATGGTCTTTTTGTATTGTTTAATTAATGTACTGTATTACTGCACTGAACAAATCAATAAAGAAAATGAAAAAAAAAAGAAATTAAAACACTTTGTTCAAAGTTATGGAGAGAAATTCTATTTTTTTTTTATTAAAGCACAGACGTGGTTGATGAGTTAACTGGCTTCCATCTAATCTGGCTTTACAGTACTTTGCACTTGTATATGATTGTGGTAAATAGTCTAGATCAGCCTTTCTCAACGTTTTACAACACAGAGGAACCCTCGAAATAACTTTCCGGTCTCAGGGAACCCCGTGCTAAAAATGACTATGTCTACATTAGTGTAATGGTCAGCGAGGAGAATGCTCCCTACACTTGTGGTCATTGAGAAGAATTGGTATATAAATGATGGACGGTGCCTCTGGATGTGTATTTATGCAGCAGGGGTGTCATGGAAATTTTGTATTTACAGGTTGAACTTTAAATGTGTCATACATGAGTGTTATTCATATGTCTCTCGTGTGGCTTAATTAAAGCTCTGAAGGCTGCAATTGGGCCATGCGCATGTACAATGTATGTATTACAGTACTCAGCTCGGTAATGGATGAGATCTGCGCTTATAGATCGGCGTGTATACCACCACGGCATTCGATGCGAATGCCGCCAGCGGTAGGCCGCGGGCCTGTATCCACATATCAGCAGCATAGTACCACATGGACTTCGTACCGCAAGGCGCCAAGCAGTGCAAACTCCGTGTGTAGGCTCATGTATATCTTACAAGCCATTACCAACCTGAAACTGTATCTGGATGGATGTGTTTTAATAAAGATCGTATCGGGCCCATTCAGATACAGACTGGCACTGTTTAATCTAGGGGATGCTTGTACAGAGAATTTACATACCACGAGGAGCTAATAGGATAGGAAGTTTGCTCTCCTCAGAGAGTTCATGGGGGGGGGAGGGGAGGACTGGTGTAAAGAAGAAGGTTGCTTCCCTCAGAGAGCTCATGGAGGGAGGGGAGGACTGGTGATAGATAAGAGGAAAGGCTACGCTCCAATCGAAATGTACATCCTGTGTTTAGGCACTCCCCATGCATTGTTCTGTGGGAGGGGATTGACCTGACTCATGTGGGGGGCATGTGTGTGTGTGTAGTCTGAAGCCAGCCTCTATGTGAATTCCAACAGCAACCTGAGAGTGTCGTGTGATCATTCCTAGGTAACTGGAGCTCCATTTCCCCACAATTCTGAGATAGCTAACCCAGTTGGAGGCGCAGGAATCATGGAGTTTAGCTGCAGTCGTGGTAAGCGAGATTCGCACAGCTTTATGGGGGATTTCTGCGCATCCAACTGCGAGTACTCACGGTAAGGAGAAATTCGTTAAAAGCGAATTTCCAAGACAGGGGGAAGGAAAAAAGAGCAGCTATCTAATCCATGGAAACCAAGGTGATATATAAAGGTGAATAATTAATTAGAACACCATTTCTCATAAATGTGCAAACCCTATATATAATCAAAATTGTATAATAAAATCATCTTAGTGTCAGGAATCTTCCCAAGCTTTTCTTCAGTGTAATAATCCCAAAATATGGTCCATTTCCACCGTATACCATAAATAAGTAATCAAAGGCCTTTTAAGAGAATGATCCAATGAGCCAGAATCCTCCAAGATTATCCACAAACGCTATACAAAATGCCGGGTTATCCCATATTTCCAAGCATGATGCAACACTTGCCAGGGCCATTCATAGGCAATCACTCATAGAAAGGACCATATAGTGTAGTATTTCCAGTAAAAATAGATCCAGGCTTTAATAAATACGCTTATATCAGAATAACATTAAAAACTCATGTATATCCATAACACGATCTCTCGAGCAGCTTCTAAGAACGTTTGTACTGATATCACCTTAAGGATCCCTTATG